CCCTCCGCCCGCGCCTGGCTGCCTCCTGGGACAGGACTGACTCTCAGGCCTAATCCCCCAAACCTGCATGAGACCTGCCTGCACTGAGCTTAGGGGGGCCAGGGGGGCCCTTGGGTAGAGGAAACAAGGCTGCAGGGCATGGAGACAGGAGCCCAGGTGGGCACGGAGACCCCGGGGTGAAGGGCCAGTGGCCAGGCCGGGTCAGCCGACTAGGGCTGAGCGGGGAGTTCAGAACACACGGGCTTTCCCCAAGGGCGAGAGGCGCCCAGCAGGGCTTCACAGCAGGAGAGAGAGCTGAGCGACAGCAAGGCCGCTGGGTGCAGGGGGGCCTGAGGCGGAGGAGCTGGTCCTGAGCTGGTAAGACCCACCCGTGCGCCCGCCAGGCCCACCCTCCCCCAGAAGCAGCTCTGCTGGAACAGGCCCTGCCCGGCCCGGGGAGTTTCTGAGTCCCGGATGGGGGTGCAGAAGTTGGGGGGGCCTCAGAGCAGAAACATCAGGCTCAGCCAACTGGGCCCAATGTCCCCGCAGGGACACCCACGCCGGCCCGGCCCCTCCGTGCGCTGCCCGGGTCTCCACTCGGACCTCGAGGGGCTGCAGGGCTGTGGGACCTCACAACTCAGTCACCACGTATTTGGGGGCGAAAGCCCTGTGGTTGGCTGCTGCACAGCCCGCATTTTCTAGGCAAAACATGCGGCCCCCGAGCTGGAGCGGGGCCAGAGGGCGAGCCGTTCTGCTGAGCTGGCGGACGGCTGCGGCGAGGCGCCAGGAAAAGCAGGGGCTGCCGCTCCATCCGGGAAGCTCCACTTAAACCAAACCAGATGGGGCCAGGGCTCGGCCACGGTTAACCGTGTGCGCGCCAGCCGGCGGGCGGGAGAGGGAGGCCTGCCCAGGACCCCACCAGGAGTGGCCTTTTGGAGGGAGGGGGTATGACCGGGACAGAGTTAGCCCCGTCCTTCTCCTGACACCTACTGTGCCCCAGCACCACGGACCTGGAAATGAGGCGACCCAAGACCATCCCATCGATCGACCCTGCATGTGTTGACAAAGCACCTACTATGCGCTGGCGTCTGTCCCTGCCAGGGTGAGCGCCAAGGCCCTGCCTCTAGTGGTTCCCTCGGGGGTGGGGGAAGCACGGCCTTCTTTACGTTCTCTACAGAGACAAGCACCTACTGCGTGCCGGCGTGCGCGGGGCCCATCTTCCTGGTGGGGCTACAGAAAGGTGTGCAAGCGTGTTTGCACTGGGCCCGGAGCCCCGTCCTCGCTCCGGACACGCCAGGTGTCCCCGGGCTGCCCTCCACCCAGGAGGGGCCACCTTCTCATCTCACAGCAGCGCCCGGGGGCGAGGCCGCAGGTGCAGGCAGGGCGGCTGCTCACCTGCCCGGCTGCTCCGGGTACTTGTGCTTGCAGTACGCCTCCAGGGACGCGTACACCTTCTCCCGCAGCGCCTCCACCTCGGCCGGGTTCGAGAGCCCCTTGGAGTCTGAGGAGGAAGGGGGCGCAGGTCAGAGCCCCTCCCCGAAGCCGTCTGGGAGCCGTGCACTCGGGCAGCACGGGCAATGGGGGCAGGCTGGCTCAGGGGACGCGGGACAGGCCTGCCCCCCAGGACACCTCCTGGAAGCCATGGACACCACCTCATGTGCCCCTCACATGGGCCAGAGGAGGGGCGTCCCGGCCCGGCCCCATGGTAACTAGAGGCACCGTGGCTGGGGCCCTGGGGTGGGGGGCAGCGGGATGGGGGGCAGCAGGGTGGGGGGTGCTGTGGTTGGG